TAAAATCCCGAATATCTCCCAAGAGAAAAATCGTATAAGAAAGGTTATTTAGAAGAAAACACCTGGTCGGCTCCTCCAACAAATATAAGGTTTTGTGGTCATGCTAGCTAATGTTCTCAGGATAACAATGTTTATTAAAGCCCTTTATATAAAAATTACAAATTACTTTCAAAGAACGATTTTTTCCTTGCTGAACAGTGAACGACATTAATTATTTAACAAATTCATCAAAATTGTTATTCATCTACGAGATGAAGTTTCTCACGACAGACATTACGATGCTGGCACGAGACCTGACCAAATGATAGTGTTCTGCTGGATAGTTGAAGAATTTGACTGGAATATTTCTGATATATTGAGACAAATGTATCTAATTGAATAGCAGTGCGTTGGCGCTCGATGAGGACCCCTGTGTTTTCAACGAAAACCGAAGAAGATAATTTTCTTCGATGCATGAATTTTTCTCATTTGGTCTATTCTTCTTAAAGTCATATAAATTATGAAAAAGTTATGTTCCCTACAACTGCGAATACGAGGTTGAGAACAAATTATTACTGAATAACTGTCAACTTTCATTCCATTGCTTTCTTACCCAATTTTTCAAACTATGAATGATCACATGTTAAGTACAGACTTCATGCAGACTTCATCAAGGTTTTGCAGCCCCTTGATGTTAAAAGTGGGGTTGGTTTACGCCTATTTACAGCGAAAATCGTTGCATCGCGACCTCTGCGTTTCGAAGTTTGTTTTGATTTTGCTTTTTCCTTCGATTAACCGATTTATATGGGGTTTTCACCAAAATATGTAGAATTAGCGACTTGATATTACTGTATTTTCTTTTGCCTTGTTTTACAATTGGTAATTCAGTTGTCTCGATGTTCTTGGAAAATATTGTGGTATTGTCCTCCCCTGGGCTGCTCTGCGTTCGTTGTTTCAAAGCTCAGTCCAACTATAAAGATTGTACAACTATATTTCTGCTACTACAAAATACAGGATACATATATGACTAAAGTTATAAATTTCTCTCACTCACTTTAGGAAACACTATACGAGACTTGAACTTTTAAGTTAAAATTAAAATTTCTAATTATCACTCCACATGGTCACACACTCTCGGGTGCACCTTATAACCGGCAGTTCGTAACGTAATTTCAATCATTCGCGTCGTTTTGTAGACTCATCATACACGTGTCGAATTCAGTAGATTTTGAAGATACKTCCCAACTTGTACTCAACGTCCCRACTAGAGCTATAGTCCTTCGGCCCACGCTGCAGAGGTCTTTGCAGTTGTTTCACCGTGCKCTGGTAATGCAATCCGGCCTACAATTTGCTCCTACGTGGTTATTCTCACACCGAACTTTATTTTCTCAGCACTAGTTCTTCAGTTCTTTCTTCCTAACGTCTTTGCTTCCAAACCATACAGGAAAATCTTCAACACGTTACTCCCCAGATCGTTCGATTACACACTCTCTCCAAATGTGGTATCTGTGATCTCATTGAAATGCATCAGTCTAGGCATCACAAGTACGTGCATGTGCAGTTCGCATGGTGCTTCGAGTAGTGTGCTTACGAAACTAAATCAATGAACGTTCTAGCGTTAGGCAGTGTTGTATGGGCAAAGATTTCATATTAGAACAAGAAGAAACTTTGTTTATCAATAACAAAAAGGCGACTTTAATGATTTTATAGGTATGATTTACTTTGTAAAGTATTAATTTTCTTGGTCTGAGAGGTCAACGTATTAGATTTCATGATATCACTTAGCGACATTTTGTGATATCACTTAGCGACACGTTTGATTTTATCACTAAAAGCAAGAACTCTTTTGAAACGTTCATATCGGTGTTAATTACATTCAATTACATGACCTTTTAGGTCAAGCTTATTTAAAGTCTCAAGAGACTTCGGCTATTTTGGASAAAAATTAAGAAATATATATTTTAATCTAATTTTTATATTTTTATGTAATATCCTGTCTTTCTCAATTAGTTTCAAAAACAGCTAGTCCGACTTCACGCTCCAAGAGCGTCTAGTTTAAAGAAAWGGCAACGCATGCTCATTCTTTAATTATCACCATCTACCCGAATTCGTGGAATGGTAGCTCTCAGAGATTTTTTTCTGGATGTTACATGTTAGAGAAAGTGAGGTTCTTTTGGCGAAGGTGTTGTAAAACCACATATGTTTTTCAATCGATGAGTACCTTTGTTAAGTT